ATGCCGCCATTTGACACCGTGTAATGCCGCCATTTGACACCGTGTAATGCCGCCATTTGACGCCGTGTAATGCCGTCATTTGACACCGTGTAATGCCACCATTTGACACCGTGTAATGCCGCATTTGATACCGTGTAATGCCGCAAATAATTAAACCGCATTTACTTCTCCCCAGATGATAGAGATCTTAAAAAGAGTTGCTGTGATTATAATTATAATGGTTCATACTTAAATAGCTCTATATACTATTACAAAAGCTTTGATCAACCAACTTTGTTGAAGAGAGTCTCACGTTGCGACCTCAACTATAAATAGAAATGAGTGTCACTGTCATGGGCACCGCCTGGCAAAGGAGGGCGTATATTATTTGTAAATGTAACCTTTCCTGAAAGTAATATTTACACAGTAATTACAAATATCTATCTACAAGCACCTCATTACAGTTTAACTGTGATTCTTCGTTTTCAGTGTATCTTTGCTCTCAACATCTAGTTAAGCAACCTAGTTTCTTGCGTCCCCCCCCCCCCTTCTTGCGTTTACTCTGTTGAAGCAAGAATAATGCACGTGGAATACCATTACCACGTGCATAATTTGACAAACACAATTGCTGTAAAATTTGAAAATAATTAAATGAAAACAAGCATGATTCATGAACAATGAAGTCCACAAAACAACCGAATTCTGTTGATATTAAAAGTATTATTCCTCTTTGTGGCGGCTCACTACAATTAAATTATCATTCTGCTTCTTTCATCTTTTCTTGAGGAGACAAATGATTTGTTCTGACACGGTTTATTGACCACTAATTTTCCTGACCTTCCCAAGCAAATTGTTATGATGTTGAGATATCTCGTACTTTACTACTCCCTCTAATGTCTTCTGTTATTGCCTTATTTGGTCATATTGGTTCCACGTGACAACTTTTATTGCCTTTTTTGGTCATATTGGTAACTGGGCAGCAGACCAGTCCGACTGTCCAAGCTACTCCCTGTGCGGTAGTGGTGAAGTTTATATTATTATTAAATCTTTAAATGAATTCGACGAATTCTGTAATGATCAAACACTTAAATGCAAATGAGGGAGTAATTAAATCTCGATTAAGGAAGATTTATGATTATAGCCGGTTGATGAGAGTTGAACCGGTTTACACTAGTTTGCCGTTGAGTCATTGAGTGGGGATTGCTCCATTATTTTGATAGATCTGAAATGGTTTGAATGATTATTCATTTACTTGGACACTGCCAGATAATATTTGACGATGCTTCGTAAACTGGAAGGTATTTTTATATTCGTATATTTCATTAATAAAAATATTGTGTTTTCATCATTCTCTCATTCTTAACTCTTTTTGCTGTTTTTATAATTCTGAATCATTATCATTAAGCATTACTTTAAACAATCTTAATATTATGTTCATTATTATCGCAGCTACATTTGATGGGATTTGCGAATTTTAACCGATTGGAACTAATCACAAAACCTTCAGATAAGATCATGACCATATTTGATAACTGTCCCTCCTGTCCCTGCTTTCCTTCCCTTATCTCCTACTTCAAAACTTCTGAAAAGTAAGTCATTTTATTATTCTCATTAAGTCATTATATAATCTTAATTCCATGACCATTTTCAATTTCATGGTCGGGTTTTGGTAGGACTTAATTAATAATTTATTACTACAGACTGTTTGACGTTTGTGTTTATCGATAGTTGTAAATAATATACAGGGTGTTTCAAAAACTATGCCCTGATTTTTAAAAACAATAAAAATTGTATAATGAAGCAAAATGCCCATTATCAGTTGCCATCAGTTCATAAAGCTTACAAATTTAATTTTTTAAGCTCATTTGTTCCAGCGATTCAACTTTGTTAATCTTTTTGGCTCTGTTCCAAAAAGTCGAATTTTGAGGAAAATGGGGTTCACAGTACATCCAAGCTGCGACTTTCTCTCTTGTTCTCTATTTGTTGGAGTTTGTGTCTGTTTTATTTGAATTTTGTAGGCAAACTTCTTCAGCTCTTTCCTCAAAATTCTCCAAACTGAAGTTGTCGATAACTTAAGCTCCCTACCGGCTATACCTACCTGTTCTTGGACTGTTCTCTAATTTTCTATGCACCCTTTTGATATTCTTGTCAGAACATCCTTGGTTTATTATGAATTTGGGTTTCTTATCTTTTCCATTCACAGATGTGATGTATAGCCTGTATAGTAGTGATGTATAGCCTGTAGTCAGTGTATGCGCGGCGCGAGTGAATTTTAATGTATTACTATTAGGCAATAAGCCCAATTTGTATGTATAATGTTAAAGTCATTATTGTAATGGTATATTAGAACCAGACAAACACAAAGTGTGAACTGTGAAGGGCCTGAGCGGAACCCCTCGGTTTCAGTTCCTTGTTTAACACTGCCGTACAGCAAGGTCATCCACCAAGTTTTCAAGGCTGGGCCAGTGATGCACACCGGTTCATTTTTCGCCAACCGGCGGCGGCGTGCCCAAAATGGCCCGGCGTGGCGGCGTTCGGCGGCGTGGAACATAATTTAGTCAAAATTTAGGTTTGAATTTCCAGGCCCACAAAAATTGTGGCGCGTACGTGCGTGCATGAAATAATGATGTAATAAGTGTGGTTTTTACAATTATATTTGGTGGTTGTTACAATTTTATATTTAAGAAAAATCAAATTCTTAACATTGTCGTTGGACAATTTGGATCTCCTAAAGTTTAAAATCAACCCCGACTGGCTCCAATAACTCCATACTCTTTCTATTTCCTTTCACGCCACGCCGACTTGAGAGGTATCGGCGTGTCGGCGTGTGCAGAAAATGTGCCGGCGCGGCGGCGTCCGGCGGCGGCGTGCATCACTGGGCTGGGCACATAGCTCACACCACAAATTGCTCTGTCAAATGTGACACGCGTAGTATTATAGTATACCGGGGGGATCGTACACTTAGTACCGGACATGACGTTGGTGGGTGGGTCATTTTTTCTTCTAAGAACACAGTTAGTACATGGTACTAACTGGTGGGTCTACTGCCCATTTTCCAGAAAAACAGTTAGTACATGGTACTAAAGGGGGTGTCTAACCCCAAAAAAACCCATTTTACCTCAAATTTCAATTTTGGGAATGGGTTTTGAGGTTTTTTAAAGTTTTTTTTTTGGGTTTTTTTTTAATTTTTAAAATTTTTAAAAGTCTTCCTTTAAAGTTTAAATGAGCTCTTTTAAAAAAAAGCAATTTCTGGGTGGGTATCTTATTCTATATACCAAAAAAACAGTTAGTACCACGATTTTTCGACAGTTAGTACCGCAAAAGGCGGCAAAAGGGGTGGGTGTCTTACGTATTATCCAAAAAACAGTTAGTACCGCAAAGGGGGTGGGTCGGTCTAGTGAAAAATATCCAAAACTACACTTAGTCGACGTGATGTCCGGCACTTGGTACCTGATCCCCCCCCCCCCCCCCCCCCCCCCCCCCCCCCCCCCCCCCCCCCCCCGAGTATACTGATGTGTACAATTATAAAACAAGAGTATAGTTCACTTTCAACTTTTTTCTTACAAGTTCTTAAAGTTAAATTACAAATAAAAATTAAATAAGCTACGGCAATTGAATTGAATCACAAGTGTTTCCCTATTTAAAACATAGTGTAAAACATAGTGTTCATATTATTAAAGTCAGCTGAACAGCTTGTATAGTTGTAGTGCAGTGAATGGAAATCTAGCGTCCGCCACAACGAAACAACGGGTGCAATTCTTGTTATAAAGAAGGTACCGTAAAAAATAGTCCCGTATAAATATAATAGTTATTACCTAGCAGTAGCGCACAGGAATTGGGTAAGCTCGTCGGCTGACGGCTTACCCAATATTTCTATACCGTCTCTACAAATAACAACGACTACCTTGGCCAATGGCCATATATTTTACAAAGTAGTAGATCTATTAACGTTTTGATTAAATTATCAAAGTTATAGCCAGACTTTTGTATATTTTCTACTGCACCACGAGACGGTATTGCTCTGGTATTACTATTAGTTTACCACGTGTTTTGAGTAATGATAAACGACATGTACCGTGAGCGCCCGAGATATATTTTACCGGAGAATTAGAAGTTAGACTCCATTCCCGCCCTCCCTATTCTTTAAACATTAATATATTCTTTTGTGTTTTCAGTTTTTTTTAAAGCAATCCAGCTCGGGGTTCAATTGCCATCGGGTTTCGTGCAAGTCAAAAATCACTGATTAATTTTACAGGTTATATTTTAGTCTGTCGTGTGCTGAATATATTATCTTTGTATGGTTGTATCGGATTGTTTTTGTTATCAGGTTTCTAGAGTATGTAATTGTGTTGCATTGAAATCATTTTAGTTAGTCTCAACAACTGCACTTAACGATGGATCATTTTTATAAAAGCCTCATTTTTTGTTTCATGATCTCAAAATTGGAAATGATGTTGAAAATAAGAAATGACTAAATAACGGTCAACGACTTATATTACTACTAGTACGAATACGATCATATTAAAAACAAACCTCTGTGTTTCTTCAGGTTTTTGAAACTATTTCAACTTACAAAATTATTATACATAATGCTAACATGAATTATGAATATTGATCCACAATCAAAGGCTACGAGTATGACAAACGGTTCTGATGTGTGCTTCCCGCTTCTCTCAGTCTCCGGGGAATCTTACTGGGAATGTTTCTACGCTCGAAACCTGAAGACTTCTGACCAGGTTCTTGGGTCAGTTATCATTTTTTGCAGTGTGATGGGACTTTTGGGAAACATTTTGGCATTTTGTTACTTCTGGAGGGGGAGACGCAAGACTATTCCGGACCTTCTGTATTTTGCTATATCAGCCACAGATATCCTTTCCGTTTCTTTATTTTCTCTAGTTGCAATATCCTTGTTAAATGATCGAAAACCAATGCTCTTCGACAATAAAGTGTTCTGCACTGCATCGTCATCGGTTATTATGTTCACTGCAAGGATGTCAATGTTTTTAGCAATGTTGATATGTATAACTCGCACCATCGCGATGAAATACCCCTTCTGTCACATAAAGCGATCTTGGTTGATTGGAGCTATATCTGGATATGCTGGGTATATGATGGTAATTTACTTGATTTACCTTCCTCAGAAGTGGCATTACGCACAATACAATAATCATATGTCTTCATGCCTTTTTGTCATCTTGAATATTTACTATGTACCTGTATTTGCTGCTTATTTTGGGGCAATTTCCCTCGTTTTAGAACTCACGTTGCCATCATTGGTGACTTTTGTCTGCTTTTGTATCAGTGCCTTTGTTTTAATGACTCGGCCAGCAGTTGGTAACAGCAACGATACAAAATTTCGTCAGGTATCGGTCACAATCGCCATATTCACGGCTGTTTTTCTGATGTGTAATATACCATGCTTCCTTTTTCTGATGTGGGACCTTTTTGGCCCGGTCGGGTTTCTACCACTTGATTATGACGATTTATTGTCGGGTGATCACACATATTTGAAGTACTATTTCCAACTCATGACGATGCTCTTCCCGGTATTTCTTAACGCTGCAATCAACCCACTGCTTTACTTGCTGAGGATGCGAGGCTACCAGAACTGGATTCGCCAAGCAGTTAAAAACTTGACGGACTCTGTACACCTAACAACGTAAGTTTTTTTAAATTGAAACGTATAAGAAAATTATTAACAAGGTTAAGGGGGTGAGGGGGGGTTCAGTCTGAAATTTTTGTAAAACTTGATTCTGACATAGCAGTCGACCAACAAACTAGGACCGTACCCGTGACCAAACTTTTTTGGGGTCCCGGACCAATTAATCATTTTAACATGCTGCATGCTCAAAATCCAAAATATTTATATTTTGTCATTCGCAACGTTATTCGCAACTTTAAGTTGTAAGTTGGATTAGATAGATGTCATATTTACAGTGCGAAATGCTTATTATATCATTTAAGGTCACTCAAAGTCAAACATCCCTGGTTTCTTATTTTTTTTTCTTCCATTCACACCCTTTTGTGAAAACAAAAAAGTAATAGTGAAAGATTACGAATACGAACGGATGTTTTTGCATAAAAACGTGGATTTTGGAGATTGCGGTACGTAGGTACAAGGTATATCGTCTGTCCTTCTGTCCGTTACCATGACAACTAGATAACTGGACGCGCGCAGCTTGCAAGGGTTGCTTGCGGAGATGTGATGTATAGCCTGTAGTCAGTGTATGCGCGGCGTCAGTGTATTTTAATGTATTAGGCAATAAGCCCAATTTGCATGTGCAATGTAATGTGACACGTGTAGTTTAATGTACTGATGTGTACAATCATAAAACATGAGTATAGTGATCACTTTCAACTTTTTTTCTTACAAGTTTTTAAAGTTAAAATAAATAAAATTTATAAATCAGCTCATTTCATAACATGAACATATGAACACTATGTTTTAAATAGGGAAACACTTGTGATTAAATTCATGATTGCCGTAGTTAACTTAATTTGTAATTGTAATTTATTTTAACTTTAAAAACTTGTAACTTTAAAAACTTGTAAGAAAAAAACTTGTAAAAAAAAATATATTAGAGCTTGTAGTTGTAGTGCAGAGAATGTGGAATGGAAATCTAGCGTCCGCAACAACGAAACAACGGGCGCAATTCTTGTTATAAAAAAGGTACCGTGAAAAATAGTTTCGTATAATAGTTATTACATGCAGCTAGCAGTAGCAGTAGCGCACAAGAATTGGCGTGCAGCAGGTAAGATAATTACGGCTCGTCGGCTTGCCCAGTATTTCTATAGCATTTTTACAATATATTTTACAAAGTAGTAGACGGTCTGACAGGGATATATTAGTGCTTTTCATTCAAACAAGTAAAAACAAATCCTTTTTGTCATGCTTCCAGGGTTTGGACTGGAATTGCCCGCTTAAAGAACTTCCATCGCGTTACATTACATAATTTTCTGAAACATATATTACATTTACAATAAATTATGCGATATCATAACATTACAATCAACAAAATAAATTTAATCACAGAATCTCAAACACAAATAATCGTAAATTAAACACAAAAAACAAATTAAACAAGCAATAAATGAATATACAAATGCGCATCTTTTGACAACTTACTCCTTCATAAAATTAATTTTTGACAAATCAATACAAATTAATCACAAATACTAGAATAATTAATAGGTATTAGGTAACTTATATAATTGAAAAACGATATATATGTCCATACAAATTACAAAATAATATTAGGTGATTGAAACATTTCAATAAATTCATCATAAATATCACTACCATATTTACCCCAAATATTTAATCTTGATTTATAAAACTTGACAAATATGATGATAAATCACTCTACACTCGACTGTCACGTGACTTTTTCAACCCGTTCTCTAGCTGATCCTGAACGACTATTCGAAACCTCATCTAATCCCAACCCTAACCCTAACCCAATCCTTAACAAAAGCATATGCTGAAACCCTAACCCTAACGAGAAATTAGACTTCCTTATACGGTCATATAACGTGATCGAGACAGTTTTTCGCCAATATCTCGTCCGCGTCGCGCATCAGGGAAGCATTTTAACCCTATGTTGTTGGGGTGATTCGGAATCAGCGTCCGAAAATACATCGATTGAAGTTGGTTTCAACTGTCGGGGGCCCTTTTAGAACAATCTCGAAGATCGACTGTAGAGTGATTTAGCACGCTCGCTCTGACAGTCCTACTCCTAGTCTGTGTATAATTGCTATTTATAATATTGCTGATGCTCTGGTATTTGTTTACCACGTGTTTTGAGTAAGTATAAACAACATGTACCGTGAGCGCCCGAAATATATTTTACCGGAGAAGTTATAACAATCGATTCCCGCCCTCCCTATTCTTTAAATATTAGTATATTCTTTTGTGTTTTCAGTTTTATTTAAAGCAATCCAGCTCGGGGTTCAATTGCCATCGGGTTTCGTGCAAGTCAAAAATCACTGATTAATTTTACAGGTTATATTTTAGTTTGTCGTGTGCTCAATATATTATCTTTGTATGGTTGTATCGGATTGTTTTTGTTATCAGGGGGAAGTTGGTCGTTTAGCTCCGGACAGTCTATGCAACGTCTATGCAACGTCCGTGCAACAACAAAAGAACCGTCTATGCAACGTCTATGCAACGTCCCTGCACAATGAACACTCTATGCACACTCCCTGCACGGTCAGTCTATGCAACGTCTATGCAACGTCTATGCAACGTCCCTGCACAGTACCATATGAACACCGGCTACTAGCCGGCTACTAGCCGGCTAGTAGCCACTTTTGTAATAACAGCTCCTCAACTTCACATTACCAACCGGCTACTAACCGGCACTTGAAAAGTGGTCACTAGCCGGCTACTAACCGGCTACTAACCGGCTAGTAACCACCAAGTGGCTACTAACCGGCTACTAACCGGTCACTAGCCGGCTCTAAAGCAGACCTATTAGTAGCCGGTGCAGGGAGTGTGCATAGAGTGTTCATTGTGCAGGGACGTTGCATAGACGTTGCATAGACGGTTCTTTTGTTGTTGCATGGACGTTGCATAGACGTTGCATAGACTGTCCGGAGCTAAACGACCAAGTTGCCTTATCAGGTTTCTATATAAGAGTATATAATTGTGTTGCATTGAAATCATTTTAGTTAGTCTTAACAACTAGGCACTTAACGATGGATAATTTTTATAAAAGCCTCATTTTTTTGTTTCATGATCTCAAAATTGGAAATGATGTTGAAATGACTAAATAACGGTCAACACTCAACGACTTATATTACTACTAGTACGAATACGATCATATTAAAAACAACGTTAACCTCTGTGTTTCTTCAGGTTTTTGAAACTATTTCAACTTACAAAATTATTATACATAATGCTAACATGAATATTGATCCACAATCAAAGGCTACGAGTATGACAAACGGTTCTGATGTGTGCTTCCCGCTTCTCTCAGTCTCCGAGGAATCTTACTGGGAATGTTTCTACGTTCGAAACTTGAAGACTTCTGACCAGGTTCTTGGGTCAGTTATCATTTTTTGCAGTGTGATGGGACTCTTGGGAAACATTTTGGCATTTTGTTACTTCTGGAGGGGGAGACGCAAGACTATTCCGGACCTTCTGTATTTTGCTATATCAGCCACAGATATCCTTTCCGTTTCTTTATTTTCTCTAGTTGCAATATCCTTGTTAAATGATCGAAAACCAATGCTCTTCGACAATAAAGTGTTCTGCACTGTATCGTCATCGGTTATTATGTTCACTGCAAGGATGTCAATGTTTTTAGCAATGTTGATATGTATAACTCGCACCATCGCGATGAAATACCCCTTCTGTCACATAAAGCGATCTTGGTTGATCGGAGCTATATCTGGGTATGCCGGGTATATGATGGTAATTTACTTGATTTACCTCCCTCAGAAGTGGCATTACGCAGAATACTATAAACAAATGTCTTCATGTCTTTTTGTCATCTTGAATTTTCACTATGTACCTGTATTTGCTGCTTATTTTGGAGCAATTTCCCTCGTTTTAGAACTCACGTTGCCATCATTGGTGACTTTTGTCTGCTTTTGTATCAGTGCCTTTGTTTTAATGACTCGGCCAGCAGTTGGTAACGAAGACGAACAGAAATTTCGCCGGGTATCAGTCACAATCGCCATATTCACGGCTGTTTTTCTGATGTGTAATATACCATGTTTCTTTTCTCTGATGTGGGACATTCTCGCTGAGCTCGGGTTTCTACCACTTAAGTATGACGAATTATTGTCGGGTGATCGTGAATATTTGATGTACTATTGCCAACTAATGATGATGTTCTTCCCGGTATTTCTTAACGCTGCAATCAACCCACTGCTTTACTTGCTGAGGATGCGGAGGTACCAGAACTGGATTCGCCAAACTTTTAAAAACCTGACGAAATTTACACAACTAACGACGTAAGTTTTACAAAATTTAAAATCTTACAAAAACTATTAACAAAGTTAAATTATAATGTAATATTATAATTTATATATAACAATGTTCACTATTGAATGTTGATTCTAATTTCAATGCTAACTTACTGAAATTGTACAACACCACAAAATTACTAGTATATTGTAATTGTAATTAATTGGGTGATCATTTGATAGTGTGATACCACACTCTGATTGGGTTTCCTAATCCTACACGATTTCCATAATGCAGTTCTACTTCTAGTGTCAACCTAATCACCTGATACCACGTTATTAACAAACCCATCATGCTTGATATCTCGGTTATCTTTGTAACAAGAAATTGTATCATTTCAGGGAAAAAATGTAATTTTAATGGCGAAACACAATACAATTTAGTTTGATTCGAACTAAATATTTAAAAAAGTTTTAAAAATGTGAAAATGGACCTTCATTGCATTGAAAAAAATGAAAACGATTATTATTTGGTACTCGGATGAGTGGTGATGGCAAAGCATATCAGAAATACTTATCTCAATCGTGAACTCAGCGACTAAGAAATAAGCTTTTTTAAATAAGTTTTTTATACCATGCACTTTTCCTTTCCCTGGAGTAGCCCGATATGAAGAGGATTTTTATACTGCATCTTTTATCTTTTAGTCTGTCTCTATTCTTACCCGTGCAGCAACATTGCCCTGAATAGTTATGGTTCACATAAAATTCCTTTAAAAGCTCTACAGAATGCAGATTTACTCCACCCACCTGGCTTTTATTCACAAATTAGTTGATTCATTCAACTCTCAAGTAAAATATTTAAAATATTTATAATACAGTGAGGCTTAGGTATAATTTACTTTGTGCCATAAGGCGGTCAAAATTTGATTACTCTCACTGTTTTTGTGTCTTTCACGTGCTCCTGGAATGTGGATGACACTACGGTTTACTCATACTCTTCTCATTCTCTGGTTGCCATGTAATGTTTTTTCATTATCACATGGCAATCATTCTACAACTCGAATCAGTTCCAAAAATTCTTCCTGTCTTGCTTCATCTAAATATTGGAAATATTTCTAATGGGGGTTCACCCTCGTCGTTTTTTCGGGAACGTCTCCTGGGAATATCACTACGCTGAGAATTTAGGAATTCAGACTTCCGACCGGATTCTTGCATCTGTTATCATTTTTTGCAGTGTGGTCGGAACTTTGGGGAACATTTCTGCACTTTGTTACTTCTGGACAAAAAGGTGTAAAACAGTTCCGAACCTTCTATATCTTGCTATATCAGCAACAGATGTCATTTCCGTTTCTTTATTTCCTCTATCTACAATATCACTGCTAAATGATCGAAAACGAATGCTCTTCAATAACGAAGGGTTTTGCACTGCATGGTCATCGGTTATAACATTCACTGCTAGAATGTCAATGTTTTTAGCGATGATGATATGTATAACTCGCACAATCGTGATGAAGTACCCCTTCTGTCATATAAAGCGATCTTGGTTGATTGGAGCTATTTTTGGGTATGCCGGGTATATGTTGGTATTTTACTTGATTTACCTCCCTCAGAAGTGGCATTATGGAGGATACTCGTATCAACTGTCTTCTTGTCTTCTTGTCACCTTGAATTTTCGCAGTGGAGTACCCGTATTTGCTGCTTATTTTGGAGCAGTTTCTTTTGTTTTAGAACTCCTTTTGCCATCTGTGATCACTTTTGTGTGCTTTTTTGTCGGTACGTTGGTTCTAATGGCTCGGCCAGATGTTAGTAACGGAGAAGATTTTCGCAGGGTATCGGTCTCAATCAGTATTTTTACTGCAGTGTTTCTGATGTGTAATCTGCCTTGTTCCCTTTATGTGATATGGGATTACCTCGGCTTGCTGAATATCCTACCACTTGCGGCGGAAGTACTTGTCAAAGATCGTAGATATTTATTCTACTATTCCCAACTCATGTTCCAGTATTTCCCAGTATTTCTGAATGCTACAATAAACCCACTGATTTACTTGCTGAGGATGCGTGGGTATCAGAACTGGGTTTGTCAAACTCTTAGAAGCCCACTAGGGAACTGTGACAATCTCACAACGTAAGTGTTATCCTTACACCAACTAACATAATATCCAGATAATCAGATATGCGATTTAAAATTGGCGTCTATTTTGGGGTTTTGGCAAATTTCCAACAAAACTTTACTAACCGTGTCAGTTTTTGTTATGAACATTTTTGAAGCCTTTTCCAATTTCCTATCCCTCCATTTTAAGACTGCGTTACAGTTGACTTTAGACTTTCGAACGTGGTTTTCTTTTGTGTAGATCTCAAAGTTGCATGAATGAACATAATGTAATGGGTTTACATTTCCTAACAGTTCCAAGTTTACAGCAGTATTTTATTGCACTGCTGAATTCTGTTCGATATTATAATGTATGTACTATGTATACAAGTTTAGACTTTATTTTCAAACAACTTAAGGATTTCTAGATTACGATGTCTGGATGTGCTCCGAAGTAGCGTTAAATGAATAAAAGTAAAATGAAACTAAGATACTTCCCAATTCACGAATTATCTGAGGTTGAATTCAAAATTTAATATCGCTCGATAACTGAGTTATAATAAATGTAATTAAATCCCGTTTGAAAATCGGATTAAATAACGGAAAGTGTAAATGTTTAGCTGCATCGTATTAGATGTAGTACTATTACTATAGTGACTACGTTGTCAGGCGTTGATCGTTTGTGTGATTTGATGTGTTTGTAACTGGCTTGGGGGCCCTGATTGTGTCTGTATTTAAAAATTGTAAAGGAAAGCAGAACTGGATTAAAAGTTTCTTGTTAGTTGCGGTTCATAAACCAAACGTTATTTATCCTTATTATTTTATTATGATACTATATTTTCTAGTATTTTTACTCTACAAATAATTAGAAAGGATTATCACAAATTGAATTTTTTATTGTAAATGTCTCAGAAAACTCAATTCCACTAATTCGCATACCTACAATAAACACTCAACAAAGCTATCACTACAACCTTGAAAATAAATACTGTATAACACAGCTGCACAGCTGCACAGTACACTACCTATATAGCTATACTATAAGACGTATAATTACTAAGTTACTACAACACCTTTAAGTATAATTACTGGATATCAACGAATCGCTAATCGCTCGTACCCTATACCTGGACTCTCATATGCAGCGTTCCAACTGTATAATAATACCCGGCTAATCGGGCTAACTTTTAGCTTTTCAACGCGTAATAACAACTAACACCAGATATTTCAGGCGGACATCAACAGCAGAACAACAGAATTATGGACCCATAAGTACAGTGAGTATACATTGTGAAGTTCATGTTATTTCCTGTGCTTTGTGTTGAGTTTCACTGCTGTTTTGTGGTGCTGTTGTAGTGACTTTTGTTTCTGTATTGTGTACAGCTTTATATTATATTAGTGTATTCCGTTTTTAAATAACAGGTTGTATTATACTAGTAGCTGTAGTAGTGTATTATACTTGCTCTGTAGATTTGCTGACGTGTGGTTATAGTTACGAGTGATTATCATTATTATTATGATATTAATATGATAGTAATATGATATTAATATTAATGCTTTTCAAACAAAGTTACAACGAATTCTTTATGTAGTGCATCCTGGGTTTGGGCAGGACATGCCCGTTTAAAATATTTCCATCACGTTACATTACATTATTCTCAAAAAATGTAAGAGATTTGCACTTGTAGTGTTTAAAACTAATTAAATATTAATGGCTAATTATCTTCTCCTCGTGGATAATTAGGTTTTGCCCGAGAAGAATACTCAATTTTTGTTATATATTTGGCTAAAGATTGATTGTTTATTGTTATAATAGTACCGTCCTATAACATGGATAAAATATATTGAGTCACATTTTATAATTTATCATTTTTATGCATAATATATTACATTTTATGTCTGATCGCTATAATCACGCATTAGAATTAACGGACCTTTACTGATAGTTGAAATTCGACATATGACGTCATCTAGCGTCATCTAGCGTCATCTAGCGTGAAATATCGCCAGATGATGATAGATGACGCTAGATGACGCTAGATGACGCTAGATGACGCCAATTAGCGACATTGTCGCTAAGTGCACGGCACCTTTCGAATGTCGCTATCTAGCGCTATCTAGCGCTATCTAGCGCTATCTAGCGCTATATGACGCTATATGACGCTATATGACGCTAGATGACGCTAGATGACGCTAGATGACGCTAAGCACGCAGCACTGACGCCAGGCGACAGATAGCGCTATTTTCATAAAAATTCTAGGGACGACATCTAGCGTCATCTAGCGTCATATGTTGCCGCGACATCTGACGCTATCTGACGCCATCTAGCGATATCTGACGTCATCTGACGACATCTGTCGCGACGACATCTGACGCAGGCGACATCAAGCGCTGGATAGCGGGATAAGTCAGTTTACGACAGTTCACGCTATCTAGCGCTATATAGCGCCAGATAGCGCTATATAGCGTCAGATGTCGTTGCGACATATAGCGCTAGATAGCGTTAGATAGCGCTAAATAGCGTTAGATAGCGCTAAATAGCGAAGAATTTTGGGTCGTGACAGTCCAGGCTATTTAGCGCTAGATGTCGCTATCTAGCGCTATATGTCGCTGCGTCAGATGTCGTCGCTACATATAGCACAAGATATCATATCCTATCACAGTAACAGTAATCCTAACTCTGTGTGTGTGTGTGTGTGTGTGTGTGTGTGTGTGTGTGTGTGTGTGTGTGTGTGTGTGTGTGTGTGTGTGTGTGTGTGTGTGTGTGTGTGTGTGTGTGTGTGTGTGTGTGTGTGTGTGTGTGTGTGTGTGTGTGTGTGTGTGTGTGTGTGTGTGTGTGTGTGTGTGTGTGTGTGTGTGTGTGTGTGTGTGTGTGTGTGTGTGTGTGTGTGTGTGTGTGTGTGTGTGTGTTGTGTGTGTGTGTGTGTGTGTGTGTGTGTGTGTGTGTGTGTGTGTGTGTGTGTGTGTGTGTGTGTGTGTGTGTGTGTGTGTGTGTGTGTGTGTGTGTGTGTGTATGTTTTACTGGGACCGTAAGAGCAGCCTGTCTTTTCCCACCCAATCTTTTTTGTTATTTTTATTTTATATGAAAATTAATTTTTACTGTAGCTGTGTATGAAAATTAATTATAATTAACTTTAAGTGAGAATGCAAATGATATAACTATAAGCTTGCGCGGCTCGTCGAAGTCACCCAACTATTACACTCGATTTATCAAATATTCGGCTGAGTGGAACAAAATATTAATATCACTTAATCAAGGGGTCGTTTACATATTATAATTATATAAAGGGCCTGATGCCGCCGGCCGGGTTTTCCAAATTATTACGCTCGCTAGTGTGATTGTGACATAATACTAATAGCTTAATAGCTATGTATGGAACTGATTACTAACAATGAGGGGTCGTTCACATACCCCGTAATCAGTTTTACCATAGCTATTATATTTATGTCAATATTACACTAGCGTAATCAATAATCATTTGAAAACCCCAACCTCCTCAGCTGATTACGTAATACTAATATGTAAACGACCGTCGACCCTTAACATTTCGGGATCGGAAGAAAGCGGCACGTACTATTTCGACGAAATTTATACAAGTTACTAACATCGTTGATTCATGATGCCAATCTTTCACAGCTCAGTGGTGCATTTCGCCGAAAAGCATTATTGGATACCGAGAAGCATTTTTGGATGCGCGGCGCGACACACTCACAGTAACGCATCGCGTTGATTCACGATGTCAATCCTTCACTGTTCATGTTCACAGCTCGGCGAGGCCCAGTCATGGTGCATATCGCCAATTTAGTAACATAGTTGGTCAGTTCGTACAAAAGTCGTAAAAAATTCGTACAGTTCGTTTTTTCAGTTCGGGATTTGGATTAGTTTGGGAAAAATTCGCTTCATAAATTTTCGAAATATATAATAAAAAGCTAATTGCAAAAATTTGTGTTAAAATGGCGGGAAACGATGACGTGCGGATGCATGTTAATATTTTAAATCTGAAATGTAACCTCCCGGACAAAAATAACAAATTTTTTGGACTGAAGTGATTACTGATTAAAAAACAAATTTTTTTTAAAAATTCGGTAAAAATTCCTCGACAGCTTTTTAAAATTTGTACAGTTCGACACCTTTTAAGAGTTCGTACATATCGTACATACAGTAACGTACTGACCAAGTATGTTTAGTAAAGCACTAGTGGTTGCAAGAAGCATTATATTATTGGCTGCGCGGCGCGGCCCAGTAGTGCATCGCGCTACAACAAACATCGTCAAATAGATTACTCGAAGCTCAAAGCTGTAAAGTATTTATCCAAAATAATTCCGATCCCGAGGATTGTTACTGGGCCGCGCTCAGCCTGTCATTCCGCCAAATCTTTATTCGCCAAATCTTTATTCGCCAAATCTTAATGTTTATGAACATGTACATATTAGCCTGGGTCCCCAGGTAAGAGGATTGACATAACTTATAAATTTATAATATATTAATTCTAAATACTGAATGCATCGCATTTTAAGGGTTTTGGTATTTTCGTAGCTAAATTGCACTAAAGCTTTCGCGCTTGCACTTCACACTTGCGCGTAGTTCGTAAACTGAAAACTCGTGGGTACGATATATGTGATTACTGAACAATAAATTCGGCTCGACTCTCATTACATTCTTTTAATAACTTGCTGTGCGAGATTTCAATACTATACTATTAATTTGCAAATGCTAATTTAACATTTAGATCTTTACATCATCTTCTTTCACATAGCCATGTGTCTAAGCGTACTACTAGCGAGAGGGCTATGGTTAGAGCATAAACAGGTTATACTGGACGAATCTCACTCGTTAACGGGTGATACTCGTAATTTACTATCACGCGCCGCTTTTTCTCAAAATATTAGTCTAAGCCTATACCAGCCGGCAAAGTTTTTATATGTAATCTACATACAACGTTAAAATTAAGTTGAGTTTTGAACGTTGCTTATAGTTGATAAGGTAACCTTGATCTAACGTAAAATAATAAACGTTTTGCAACGTTAAAAATAAAACTTATAACCAACGTCAGATATTTAACGTTTAACAACGTTTTATATGTAACCTACATACAACTTTAAAATGTAGTTGAATTTTAAACTCTGCTTATAGTTAATAAGGTAACCTTGATCTGACGTCAAATAATAAACGTTTTGCAACGTTAAAAATAAAACTTATAACCAACGTTAGATATTTAACGTTTAACAACTATAGCCATAGCTATAGCTGTCGCCGCGATATCTAGCGCTAGATAGCGCTATCTAGCGCTATCTAGCGTTAACTGTCACAAACCGATATTCTCCGCTAGATAGCGCTATCTAGCGCTAACAAGCGTTATCTAGCGGAGAATGTCGGTTTGTGACAGTTTACGCTAGATAGCGCTATCTAGCGCTAGCTGTCGCCGCGATATCTAGCGCTAGATAGCGCTATCTAGCGTAAACTGTCACAAACCGACATTGTCCGCTAGATAGCGCCAGATAGCGCTAGATAGCGCTAGATAGCGCTGCGTCAGATGTCGTTGCGACATATAGCGTTAGATAGCGCTAGATACCGCTAGATGTCGCAAAAAAAAGGGCGGAAATTTTATGAAAATAGCGCTATCTGTCGCCTGGCGTCAGTGCTGCGTGCTTAGCGTCATCTAGCGTCATCTAGCGTCATCTAGCGTCATATAGCGTCATATAGCGTCATATAGCGCTAGATAGCGCTAGATAGCGCTAGATAGCGACATTCGAAAGGTGCCGTGCACTTAGCGACAATGTCGCTAATTGGCGTCATCTAGCGTCATCTAGCGTCATCTAGCGTCATCTATCATCATCTGGCGATATTTCACGCTAGATGACGCTAGATGACGCTAGATGACGTCATATGTCGAATTTCAACTATCAGTAAAGGTCCGAATTAACTACAGTTTTTGGTTTTTTCTTTATTTCGTCTCTATTTTTATTCTAAGTTATAATACATCAGCAGACCTTGACACGTAAGAGTTAAGACCTTGCGGTACAAATATGATACGTATATATAAAGTAAGTTATTAAACGGCTTTAGATAACGAGTAAAAAGTCTCGGTCATCGCGGTGTGATTGTCACTTCATCGGTGTGACACCTTCGTTTACTGCACATTTAGTCGTCCATTTGCCGTTTAACCTCTCATGTTTAACCCTAAGTAAACTAATGTCACTAACTAATAACATGTTCACTGTACATGTGGTGAATGCTGACCAAAGATCTGTTCTTGTGGTTTTTAAACATTTATT